CGTTGACAGTCACAATAGGATTGGTATGTGCAGAATGAGTTGCCACACCACAAAAGGACTGTTCAAGTGCAAGAAATTAATCGCATCCATAATGCTAACAGTGGAATAATACGGAATTCGGATTTCTCGTTCAAATCTTCAATGTCCCCCTTTAGTTACAAGAAAGACGAAGGAAGGAACAGATACGGTCCGAAATCATTCAGCTCGAAATGTACCGTTTAGATTGCAGCAGCAATATCCTATAACGGATACCACCGCAAACGAATACGGATAAACTTGCAACAGCTATTTTCAATCGTTTTTCTGTTCGTTTCGATCAGTTTCCAACGTTGATCGTCCAGATTCCAATCCATTCTGAATCTGAAGACATTAGGGCAATTACTGGCTTTTCATCCATGCATATGAGTGATATTCCCCTCTCGGTTCCTGCACAAAACATCGCATCACCATTTTATGAGTCAATCTAATCATATATACAAATACAAATTCACGTTATTATTGCGATCAGTCAGTTACTCAAAGCAGTCAGGCGTTAAGCAAGAACAAATCGTTGTGTCTTAAACAATTTCGAACTTTACTGATCAGCGATTGCCGACATTTACGTTTCAGCGCGTATTCCAGCTGTTCAAACGGTTTGCTTTGAAATTTCAGGAAATCACCTGTTCAGTCGTCTTCATCAGCTAATTGTCAACTTCCTGAATCCACACGTACGTTGTTTTCCACCTACTTAGTTTCATGTCCTCGTTTACACCAAAATTCTCGAAATTTCATCGTCCAGAACTCGAATTTCAGTGATTCCGTTTTATATGTTCAACATGAGCTAACATAAATTCACTATGTGAATTATTATTTCGGCATGAAGAATCTTCAGATTTGCCGTTGAAGTAACGAAATGGATGTCGATGAATGCCCAACATTCAACTTTGATAATATGTTCAAATTTGTGGATACACTGTTTGAACGTATGCCATTTTACCTTTATTCAATTTTTATTGTATTCATCATTTTTCTTAATGAATAATACGTCACCTCATTGATGATATTTTCAAGCTTTCGAAACTGGAAAAACTTAAATTCATGTTCGACTTAAATATACTGTTATTCTAAAATGTATGAAACGACTCTATTAAATGTTTTCAGGCAATGTGGATGAATACTCGAAAAATCCAGAAAAATTAATGGAAGTGGTTAAAGCGCAGTGCCTGCCCCATTTCCAGGTGCCATCTTTTGCAGTTTTCTTTTTCTATTTATGGAAACACTATGATCGAAATTATGTGAAGTTTGTTGGAGATTTCGTATTCATTCCTGAAATCTGAAAAATTTTTATTTCCGTTGATGAAATGTGAAACGGATAGGTAGAGTTGTTTTCGATTAGAATTTTAAAAAAATGAATTTAATATTTATTGGTTTATAGTCTTGTAAATCGCTGAATTGTATTGGATACGATATGGTAAAAGACGGGGAATTGGTACGAATGCGATGTATGATACAAGATGCTAAAGGTGTTGAAATGTTCGTGGCAAGTGGTATAGCTCATGATGATATAGACCAACAAAATGGGAGCAATCCAGGGAATGATACGGAGAAAACAGTCTGTGGTGTACTCAGAGATTCACTCAAATGCACGGTTCGAAATATTTTCTCTTGTTTTGGATATTCATCGAGTTTATGAAGATACTTGTCCCTATGATAATGGTCATAGAGATTGTAATGATAATGATAGTATGACTAGGAACAGCCAAAAAATAATAAAGGAAGTCAAAGAATCAGTCACAGTATGAAAATTCCGAAAAAGTCCACAGTTTCCATTCGAATTAAGCATATAACTTGAGAAAGAATAATTTAC